GTTATAACGGTTTAAAGTTATAATTACATTTTTAAAAAAATTTATATATATATATATATGATAAGATACTAAAAAATACACACATAATAATAATAATTTGTTATCTTTGATATAACATATGTTTGATGATAAATAGCTATTACTATAGGACACTACAGTCGGTTACATTATAATTCGCATTATTAATAAAAAATTTACCAAAAACAATGAGAAGTCAAAATAGTGAGTAATACTTTACTTCATACTCTAACTTTCAAATATTTATTCATTTTGTAAGAATGGATTTTTTATTTGGGTAAAAAAGAAACACATTTTATGAGAAATGTGGGCAACGACATGCACGGGTAGAAAAGCCAGCAGAATTTTTTTAGATATAATTTTATTAAGGTTTATCTTCCAGTATCACAACGGCATTTTTTCATGTGAAAACTTGGCAAGAGGAGGCATTACAATTCATATTACACCACGAGAAGTAGTTTATTCTTTGGGAATGTATTTTTACTCTAATATTAATGACATTAATCATTGTTTGATAACGAAACATTTATAATTCATAATCGTTTTATTATGCCAAATACACAAAACTTACTTTTTTAATTAATAAAGATGATTTTGTATGCCCTTTTTTGTTCGGAAAATCGATCCGCGTAATTATATAAACTAAAATTCGCATTAATATTTAATTTGACAATAATAATAAATAAAGTTTTCCAGAATATTATTATTATGTCAATATCTCCGCGCGGATTTTATTCTATATAAAGGTATTCCATGTACAATCATAATAATAACTACATACTGACGTTATCCTACTATAACAAATTTATTCCAAAATGAATTTTAATTGATTAATATATAACACTGGAGGTCACATGCTTTGAAAACCAATTACACAATGAATGAAACATGTGAATTTGAAGTTGTTTCTTGAATCTATAAATTGACGTAAAATACTTTTTTTTTAAAAAAAAATTCTCTTTTTCTTTTCCATTTTAATAATATTAATGATAAAATGATTTCAAGTTTAATTGTTTTTATATTTTTCACTTTGATTATATTTACATTGTTATTTTATTTTAAAATTTCAAATAAAATTAACAAAGCTAATGGATTAAAGGAAAAAACCATTTTGTTACTAATTTCTCATCCCGTTGATGAATGTATGTTTTTTGGACCAACTTTATTAAATTTAAAATGTAAAAATGATATAATTGTTTTATGTTTATCTAATGGTAAATAAAAGGTTATTTATCATACATATTATAATTATTTATTTTTTTATTTGTTATTTATTTGTTATTTATCTTATTATTTTGTTATTAGGAAATCAATCAGGAATGGGCGAAATTAGAACAAAAGAATTGGAAGAGAGCTGTTTAAGACTTGGAATTGAAAAAACTCATGTTAATATAGAAAATCACCAGTAAATGTTATATATTATACTTATTATTGTTATCATGATTACGACGACGGTTATTAATCATGATCATTATTGTAATAATAGATTATTACAAGATAATCCAACAAAACATTGGGATCCAGCATTAATTTCAAATATAATTAAAGATTACGTTATTAAAAATGGAGTAGAAGTTGTAAGTAAATTACTAATTAATTAATCAGAAACAAGAGACTATTAATTTATTACTCGCGCGTGATTAACGAATGGTATTTTTAGGTAATAACTTTTGACAATAAAGGAATTTCTGACCACTTAAATCATATTTCAGCTTATAATGGTGCAAGGTGAGAATATACAACAAAATCAATACTTGTAAAAGAGAATTTTGTTTTTAATACATTAATAACAATGATAATAATATTGACTATTTAATCTTTTAGACATTTTATCAAAACATTTCCTGAAACAAATCTTATTTTATATAAACTTGTGACGGTTAATATAATAAGGAAGTACATTTCAATATTTGATTCTCTTTTAACTTATTTAAATTTCATATCATCATCTCGTCATATTTCATCAAAGGATACCACCAATAAAGAATTAGATTCATCTTCTTTAAACAATTTGATGTTATTTGTTTCATCAAAAGAACAATTTTATCAAACAGTACAAGCAATTGAATGTCACAAAAGTCAATTAATTTGGTTTAGATATTTATATTTAAGATTTTCAAGATATATGTTTATTAACGAGTTAGAAAGAGTTGTATAGTGTGATTTGATTTAATTTAATCTAATAACAGTAATGACAAATCTAAATAAAGTTTATTTTTATAAATAGTTTTTTCAATAGACTTTTTTGAAGGCATAAAAAATAAACGATCGATTGTGAATATCTAGAAAAAAACGCTCAAATAGTCATCAGATAAATAAATCAATATGTTATAGTGTTATGATTTGTGACCATTATCAGCAGTCCGGTTAATAAAATAGCTGAGGTCGGAATCACTGGTAAAGAGTTTGTGGAAAGAAACGGTCCGGGTCAAGCAAAATGGTAACAGGTGTGCGGTTCAAGTAACATAACCAAAATGAATGTGCAAGAGAACTTCTCGGATACTAGGTTAAAGTTTATATATAAAGAATTTATTTAAATCTTTATTGATTGAATATCCTTGCTTCTTTCCAGATCGAACTTAACCTTTCAAGAGAATTTCCGTACCAGGAAGGGGAAGGATCAAAGCAATAATGCTGATTCTAATGAATGAAAAAATAAAGATCGAGATGGTGATTTAATTATTTTGATTGGTTAAATTCTAATTCTAAAAAAAATCTTTCGGCAATGTGATTACTTGTTATTATTATTATTATTATTATTATTATTATTATTATGTCTGCCACAATCTCGAAGTAAAACAGCGCATTTTTGAAGAAATTCAAAAAGTAATTGGTTTAATTCACACGTTAGCTTTCTTGGCGCTTATCGCGACTTATCGATTTTTTTTAAATGGTAAAAAAAAGTGGTGAAAAATTTTTAGCCGAGTTAGGCCAAAACCGACTTATCAAGTTTACATATGTATAACTTTTTGTTTTTCCTAACTTTTATATTGAGTATCGCAAGATTCCAAGGGCTTTGCATATAAAATTGAAATGCTAAAAAACATAGAGAAATTTAATTTTTTTGTTTTTATTTGTACTAAACATATAGAATATGGGTTTTATTACGAAAAACCCTTTTAAACAATAAATCTTCTGCCTAAAGCTTAGTTTTTTTTATATTTAATATAAATATGTCATTATCTTTTAAATTAAATCACTTATTAATTGTTATAAATTATATCCGTAATATATGCCTAGAATAAATATAACCTTTAGGAATTACTATTACTATATTTTTTATTTAACTCCTGATAAATTTTTCGATATTAATGTCAATTTTCTGTGTCACACAATTAATTAGAAGAGGATTCTTTTTCAAAATATTTTGATCATGTCAAATACATCGTGACCAACCTGACCATTGAAGAAATCAAATGAATTGCGAATTTGGAAGTGATTTAGTAAAAAAATATCGAATTAAAAAAACTTCGTTTTAGTTATAGAAATTAATGAATATTCTAGAAATTATTATTCTTTACAAATTAACTCACGAGTCCAAACTTTATATATTTTTTATAAACAAGGTCTTGAAAGCGCCAGCATTTTTATTTATTACTAGGCTGGCGAGACGATCTATAAGAAACTTCAAACGAAGAAGATGCATAATGTCCAAGCTGTCCTAAATACAATACTAATTGGGAAAATGTGATTCGCCGTGATTAACTCAATGTGAAAGTACATTGTTAAAATATCACAATTAAAAGCACAGGGATCTATTTCAATTTATTTATTTTGACATGTATTATTATTGTATTATTATTGTATTATCATCATTGTATCGTATGGCAATGTATTGCTGTAATGCGATAACATGTTGCTGCTTAAATTGGAATATGGGTTTGGATTAAAACTAACTAAAATAATTATGTATCATGTGAGAATACCGACCACATGGTTTTTTTTAGTTATCTTTAATTGAGAAAGAAATTCCAAATTATTATTATTTGAAATTGCCTAAATGAAATTTCTTTAAAAATATACCCTGATTACTTAAAGACGTTAATCATTTAAGAGAGATAGAAAATAAAGAAAATAAGAAATTCCCAAATTAAATTTTTTATTATTCTGATGCCAAAACGTGACATGATGCCATGATGTCATATGCACAATATTATCGATACTTTAAAAGGTCATTTTTATTGTTTTGGATGAACCAAAAAGTAATTAACAATCCAGAACATCCCGAAAAAAACTTTATTCTTTCTTTCTTTCTTTCTTTCTTGATGTGAATCGCATTGAAATAATAATGAAGAACAAGAAGGTAAAAAAAGCCTTCGTGGATTTTTTTAAAACGAGATTTTCTAGAAAAAACCCCGCAAATAATATTAACAACGTTTACAATATCAATAGAAACACTGATAATAACACGCTTGATAGCACCATTGGTAATTTTAATAACAACGGCATTAATAATAACAACACTGATATTAGTGATAATAAGACTGATAATAATAATATTAATGGTAATAACAGCACTGAGATTAAGACTGATTATAATAATATTAATGGTAATAACAGCACTGAGATTAAGACTGATAATAATAATATTAATGGTAATAACAGCACTGAGATTAATGATAATAAGACTGATATTAATAATATTAATGGTAATAACAGCACTGAGATTAATGATAATAAGACTGATAATAATAATATTAATTATAATAACAGCACTGAGATTAATGATAATAAGACTGATATTAATAATATTAATGGTAATGACAGCACTGAGATTAATGATAATAAGACTGATAATAATAATATTAATAATAACATTGATAATAATATTGATGATAATAATAACCACAGTAATAACGACAATATTGAAAATACAACTATTGGTAATTTAACACCTGAAAACAGCAACAACATAATACCTCAAGAGCCTTCAAAAGATCTAAAGGAATGGTTGGATAAAGAAAAGGCAATTATTTTTCCTTACAGTATATTTTCTGATATTGCTTATATCAATGAAGGTGCTTCGGGAAAAATTTATAGAGCTAAATGGAAGAGCGATATAGATGTAGCATTGAAAGAAATTAAAGATGACGTTGATTCGAGACGATTTATTTACGAAGTATGACTTTTTTAGATTGTAATTTAATGTTGTTATCACTTACTAAAATAATCTTTATTTTATCACGTGACTATTTTTAGTTTAGATCACATAAACGAGTTGATTATCACGACAATATTTTGAATATTCACGGGATAACGAAAGGTGATTTTTTCTTTGCATTTAAGAACCAATTGATAAAAAAATAATTAACAATGAATTCTATTTTTTAAATTATAAAAATAGATCCCAACTCGGGCAATTATTTATTGGTTTTGCAATATGCAAACCACGGGACGCTCCAAGAATATTTGTCTGCGAATGCTGATAAATTGGATTGGGAAAACAAACTACGTTTGGCATATCAGCTTGCTAGTGGTATACAAACATTGCACCATGAAGGAATAATTCATCGAGACTTGGTACTTTTTTAATGATTTCTTTCTTTAACAGTAGCATTAACGACATTATTAATATCATCGCTATTACTGCTATAAAGATTATTAATTAAAAAACATTTTTGTTTTCCTGTTTGTTTGTAGCACGCGGGAAATGTTCTTATAGTTAATGACAATATTAAAATTTCTGATTTTGGATTATCAAAATCCAGAGAACAAGTTTACGGGAACATGAGGTACACAGATCTCAGACGTATCAGGTACCCCAAAAATGAGAAATCGGACATCTTTAGTTTAGGAGTTTTGTTATGGCAAATCTCAAGTTGTAGGCCTCCATATGAATCAATTAAAAATTATGAGCATCTTTATCCGTACAATATAAGAGAAAATAAGGTCGATGGAACACCTGAGGAATACTTTGACTTATACACCAGATGTTGGGATGCAGAACCAGATAATCGACCTGATATCAAATTTGTTGTTGAATGTCTTGAAGAACTAAGGAAACATTACACTGTACCAAATTCTAAAAAGAATTCTACGAATGAACACTTACAAAATGCTTCGATAGATCCTAACAATTATCTTGATTTGCACGAACTTATAAATAGACGAGATCTGCGTATGAAACAAATGATGGGTGGCACTAGTAAGAATGATAAATATATTAGTGACTATAACAACAACGGCAGTAATGACGTCACGGTTAATTCTTATAGTCAGCTTTACAATTCTAATAATGACAATGCTTACTATAATTCATCTTTACATTCTATTACAATGTTCATCCCGTCTCCTCCCAAATATAATAATAATAATAACTTTGATTTTCTTCGGCATAACAGCAATGGCAATGATTATAATGATGCTGAATAATGAAATGATAATTAATTTTTTAAAATTGTCCTGAAATAAATTATCTGGCAAAAGCCCGAAGAAAATTTTGCATCTGCTGATAATAAAAATGACAATGATGATAAAGATACCGACGACCAGAAATTGATAAAGTGGATATTATTTATTTGCTACTGCCAATAATTCTATTGAAGATAAATTGATTATGAATAATTCAATTAACGAAGAATCAAATAATTCGGAAATGTTATTATGTAAACTTTTTTCTTTAAAGTTAATTTTTGTATTACTATTGCAGATCATTAATGTTTTTATTTTTTTTTTTATTTTTAGTAAACATTTATTTGTTTATAACTTTATTTTTTTAAACCTGTTTTTTTCATTTCATTTCTATATGTAAATATTCTATAAATTAATAAACTATTTATTGATAATTTATTAATTAATTCTAAAATATGTAAAGTATTTAAAGTTTTTGGATTATAATGCACCAAGGTAATTAACTAAACTGCTCAACATTATGTCGTGCATTTGCTGATAATTTAATAAATAGAGTTACTCTTTATCTATATGCTAAAGAGCAACTTTGACGAATCCAGATTAGTTATGAAAAATTGAACTTGATTCTTCAAAAATTATCGCAACAATCCATTCAAATGCTAGTTTATGCGGCAGCTTGTTAAGCTTTAAATTTTAATCGAGTAATCAATCCATCTGGTATAATTCTAAGAGAAACACTGACTCTTTCGATTAATAATTTATTATTATTTAAAGAGTGTCTGTATGATATTTCTAAAATAGAAGTGTGGCTGTGAAAATATAATATTTATCCATTCATTCAATGAACTCTAATTATATAATCGGATTTTTTCTTACAATAAAATGGAATATGGTAGCAAGCTCAAATGTGAATATATTACTAATTGGGAATTGTGTCAATTATTCAGTCCATTAGCTCAAGGTCGAACCAGTCAGTGGTAATGAAACTATTGAGAAGATGATTAAAAGCATCTAGTTAAAAGCAACAGGTTATGAAATTTATATATTATAAATATCTTTCGATGGATCCTTTATTTAAAAGGTGTACACGCAGGATTACTTGAATAAATGGTGAAAAAAAAAAATATACTGATGGTGGTTATAAAACACCTAGTGAAGATACGATTGCAGTATTAATTAATAATAATTCTCAGAATATCCAAAAGATTAAGTCTCAAGTTTTACAATAAACGTTCAATTGCCGAAGAATTGTTCATTTTTAATGATCATTTAAAAACATTCTCGACCAAGCTTAATAAAATGGACGAAATTCTTTTGATCCTTCAAGTGTGTCATCTATTTCCACTAGATCATTAAATAGAGTTATGATAACATACTAATTAACTGATTAATATTTTATGATGCTAGAATGTAAAAATATATCCGTTTCACGACGTAGGGAAACCATTAAATATAACCCGTTTCTTTAAATTTTAAAGTCGTGCTCGCAGCTCTAGTCACTCGTATGTGACGTAACTGATGTCATAAAGTCCTCAAATTATTACTTACCTTATCATATTCCTTCTCTTCCCGGATTGTCGTTAAACTTAACCTTACAAATTTCTCGAAATGTAATTATTACAAGCGACTGTCAATCAAGTTGAAATTATAGTAATTACAATAGACATCAACCGGATTCAAACCAGGTTTTATTTGTTATCATAGATTGCATTCATTTTTACAAAAAAATGATTGTATTCTCTTTTGAGCATAAATTCGGTTGAAAAGCCTATTTTTTTCCGGAAAGTGTGACCTTTGATCCAATAACGACAATTTCAGAATTTCATTTAGAAAAAAATTTTTAGAGTCACACAATTTAATTTTGTAATTGCAATTAAAAATTTTTTCTATAATAAAAGCTATCATAATTCATAATAATAACAATAATAAATTGTTTTGGATTAAAATTGTATTCATAATCTGATGGTCATGTGAAGTCGTTTTTGTAATAATGAAAATAATGAAAATTTTAATTTAGTAATCCTTTTTTTCTAATAGAAGTTTCTATCTTTTATGTATTTCATCTAAATGATAACGTCTATAAATAAATTAATTACAATCACGTGGATAAATTTTTTTTCCTCTGGTTTTAATTTCAAATTCTTAATTACATAAACAATTTGTTTTAAAACAATTAAAGAAACTTCATTATAAATTTCCTTGCTCGAACTTTAATGTCCAGGATAGTAATTGTGAACCCTAAAAAAATTAATCATAGATTTGCTATTGATTGTTTGACAATTTAGGATGCATAATTCCCTCGGTCACATGATATTGAGATGCATACAGTGTATTACATGGCCAAATTAGCCAATAATTTGTTGGCGGAATTTTTATTAAAAAAGGTACGATAGAAACTCACCAATAAAAGTTGCATAATCGTGCTTTCTCAAAAATGTAAAATTTTCTCTGTTCCTATACAAAAGTAAATAGTTCACTCTTGGACGACTGTAGATTCCACATAAACGCATATACAAATTAACAAAAGAAGAAATAATGGATTTTATATTATTATTATTTGAAAAAGATAATGTTGTAATACAAATGCACAAAAAGGATTTCAAGGTTCAAAGTTGTACTACCAAATGAAACTCATCTATATTGGATCTTAATTCCATCATACTTTTCTATAATTTCGTCATTATCAAGAACATAATTAACCTGTTCCTTTACTGCTTCATCTTGAATGCCAAATAAATCCTACTTACCAAATATGGTGGGCGAACATTTTGGGATCATAACTAGTGTATATAGAAAGTCGGCAGCACTGTACTGAATTATATATATAAATTGGACACTGTACTAAAAGTCTAATTTTAATTCAGTATACACTTGTCATTCATTTTTATTATTACTATTATAATAATAATAAGGACATTTGCTGATCATTAAAATTGGCCACAATAGCGAGTTCTAACAACCTTTGTAGTACAAGTAAAAAATGCATTTCATGTTTAAATCTAGTTTCTGAAATTTTACAAAACAATTCAATTCCAAACTGCTCTAAAACATAGTCACCAAAAAATATTGTATTTCATTAAAAAAAAAAATCGATATCTTGTCAGATTTCCTTTGTTTATCCACCCTTTGTGACACTATTTATTAATCTATTCATTCTTTCCAGATTAATATTAAACCATTCCTCTTTTAATAAACCGAATAGTATTCTAAGTCAGGGTTGTGGAATTTCGCTGTACGAAAAGAATCTTTGTACGTACGTACGATGTACTACTGTACTTTGTACAATTGAGTTCGTACAGTTTCGTTGTGGTCGTACACCTGTACGAGGAAGTTTTACATATGTACGTGTGTACGTACGAACATACGATATGAGGAACAATGATTTTCTGCGGTGATAAAACATTACTTTGTGAAGTCCTATAATAATATTAATATTATTGTTATTGTTATTAAGCCGTTAACCCTATTTACTATTACTATAATTAACGGATTATCAGATGTTGTAACCGGGGTCATAATACTACTTCATTATCAGGAAAAGCCTCTTATTTGAGCCCTTTTTATTTTATATTCTGTGTTAAAAAAAGTACATATCCCGTGGTTTCTATTTTTTTTTTTCCTAATATTAATAATGAATAAAAAAATTACCTTTACAACCTTTTTAATTATTATCAATTATTGAATTTTTCAGTAGTTAATTCCATAATTCTTTTATTCTGATGGTCAAAGCTTTGAAAGATTACATCATTGAAACAAAACAAAAAAGTGTTTCTAGTAACAGATTATTAAACTTGGTGAAAACAGCAATGAATTAAAAACGATAGTAGATAAAATCGAACATATAATGCAACATTTTAGTGGTTGTCAAAATTTCATGTTGTATATAGCCAAAAAGAAAAAATTAAAATACTAGCTCTTAGCAATAATAATGATAATAATAACAATACAGTAAAAAGAAAAAGTAAATTTCAAAAAATTTTTTTTTAATTTAATTAACAATTATTGATTTCTTTCTATTAGTATGTAATTCTGCTTCATCCCAATCATCTAATTACGGTTCTTTTAGATAATTTTGTTTCTAAATGAACTTTATAACTTAGATGTCCAAAGTATTGATCATCCAGCAACAAGTTCTGGTGGAAATGGATACTGGGAATTATTAAAAAACGATCCTTTCTAGTTTATCATTACAATTATGAAAAAAAAAATTTTTTGACGAATTAATGTATATTACATTTGATCAACCAATAAAAATTGGCATAAATCACATGATATGTTCGTAGAGTTCTCTCTATAACGGCCCGCCTGATTTGGCAAGAAAAGGCCGTTATAGAGAGTTTGCAGATCATAGTCATGTGATAAATTATAATGTGATACAATATAAAGATTTTATTTTATATTTGCATACTTATTCAATGTTAAAAAAGCTATATAGTGTGGATTGTTGTTGTGAGTTAAAATCCATTTTTTTAATTTTTCTTTTAAGATTTTCCAATTTGCTCCAATATCACCTGGAATCACTAATCCTTCAGATACCAGTGAGAGTAACAGTATGAATGAAAATAATATACACTACTTAAATATTAGAACTCCTGGTTCAACCATAGATGAAGAAATTGGTATCAGTACTGGTGGCGAATATCCATTTCCAGTGATTGCTAGTGATAATACTAATGATGGTGATGATTCTACGCAATCATAGTTGATAATAAGTTCATTTGAAACAGATTGGGATAATTTCATAGTAAATTCAAAATAAAAGAATAAAAAGGATATTCCAATTTTATTAATTTATGAGATCATTTTTGATTAATGGGAATTATTTATTGGATTAATTAAGTAAATAAAAGGACAATTTTATTAAAAATTTGTAAAGTTGTCAAATAATTTTTGGAAAAAATAAATCAGAAAATCAATTTTGCATATATATTTATATATGATCGACATGACACGAATTAATTTAAAGACAACCATGTACCTTTGCTCTTTAAAACGCGATATTTTATATACCAGAGCTCTCCTGTTTACGGATATACTCGCCCATACCATGGAGTATGGAGCAATCCCCATCTCATATCCATATCCCATGTCTTTAATTTGATAATGGGAAAGATAGGCATACATTTTAGTTAAATAATCATAAGAAATTTAATTAATAGCCAATCTTTTTAGCATGGAAAACAACCAATTCCTGAAAAATTATTATGAGGTTACAAGAAAAATGGTATAGTGGTTTTGATTTTATTTCCATAAAAAAGGTCAAAGTCAAATGCATAAAGGAATCAGAATGCTATCATCAATGTTATGGAGTAAGATTCTAAATGATTATTGTGTCATCACCACTATTTTCACGTCACAACAATTTAAAAAAGCAGATGCTAAAAGTTTGCCAAATGGCTGCCTAGCAATTGCAAAACCGGAACAGATTACCAACATGTTCATAGGGATTGGGGATGCTATTTCTCAAATATGCAGAAAGTGACTTTACTACAATGCTAATGATAAGGTTACTTGCCGAAACCTCTTAGTGACTGTCAAAACTTTGTTGAAACTCTAATGAACAATTAGTATATACCTTGTCAAAATTCTGATGATTGACAAAACCCCCAAATGCGAAACTTGTCGAAACTTTAATAAACAATTATTATGTAACCTGTCAAAACTCTGTCGATTGATTTCTGAAGTTTCGCCCACAACTTTAGCTGATGATCTCATCAAAAAAAAAAATGATAATTATAGTAATACATTCCATATTCCTATTTCAAAAAACCAAGAGAAATGACAGCATAGATATTTTGACTAATAAGGAAGAATTATTTTTATACAACTACACTGAACAAACACAATTTCTTTATTATTTGATCTTTGATCATAATTTTTATATTCAAATTCTTGAATGTAAATGTTTAAGTAGGAACAAAAAATGTTTTTTCCTTTTCACCAGTAATATTTAACTTTAATTCCTTTGGTGAATTCTCTATTACCATATATAAAATTTAATATATCATGATGACAAGTTAATGAAGAAGGAAGGTATGACACAAGAAATAATCAATTGACAAGTTTTATTTCAGAATTTATTTTATTTATTCCATTAGTTTTTTCTAAAAAGAAATATTTTATTA